GGGGAGAGGGAGGGGAGGAGGTAGTGAGTAGGGGAGGAAGGATGGAGGAGGAGGAGGAAAGGAGGAGGAAGAAGGAGGGGATGAAGAAAGGGGGAGGGAAGGGAGAGGGAAGGAGGAGAAGAGGGGGAGGAGGGGGAGAGGGAGGGAGTAGCGGAGGAAGGATGGAGGAGAGGAGGAGGAGGAGAGGAGGAGGAGGAGAGGAGGGGAGGAGGGGGAGGGAAGGAGGAGAGAAGGAGGGGGAGAGGGAGGGGAGGAGGTAGTGAGTAGGGGAGGAAGGATGGAGTAGGAGGAAAGGAGGAGGAGGAAGGAGGGGATGAAGAGAGGGGGAGGGGAGAGGGAGGGAGGAGAAGAGGGGGAGGAGGGGGAGAGGGAGGGGAGGAGGGAGGGAGTAGAGGAGGAAGGATGGAGGAGGAGAGGAGGAGGAGGAGAGGAGGAAGGGGGAACAGGTTTTTGAGAGAACATCTGCAAAGGCCAGGTGTTTATTTCGACAAAGGGCACCCAGGGATCTTCAATGCTGGTATGAAAACTGGGCTTCACTGTGTAATTTTATGCCACGTCCAGATGTTGCCGACTTACAACTCCTGCCGTACACGAGTTCAGAACTCTGGGGAGCCACGGTTTTCTCCATCTTGAGGTTTTGAGCTCCTGGTTGCACCTTTACTGAAGCTCAAACTTCTCCTCAGCCCACAAAATCCCCCCAGGCCCCTCTGGAGAAGTTAAAAATATCCCTTTCCTCTTCACGGGTCAAGCTCAAGAACTGGGCCGTCCTGGGAAAGGCTGGGCCCCCTCTTAAACATCTCGCGCTGCAGATGGCAGGAGGAGGGGGAGGGAATCTGCAAGCAAGGGGAGATTGTGGGGGGGGCCAAAGGCCTATAAGAAACCCAGAGGTTTATTCACAAAAGAGAGGATGGGCTGAGGGTGGCAGATTTCCTCCTCGGGATGCTTCGGCCAAACTCCGAAGGCACGCACACAAACACACAACTGCGCAACAGTTTCCCCGCTTACCAAACTGATGAGGGTGTCGTACTGCAGGGCGGAGCCGGAGCTGGCAGTGACCACGCTGGCCCTCAGGAAAATGCCTTGCTCCTCCAGCAGCTTCTTGATCCCCCGGACGTGGGAATCGAGGGTGTGCAGGTCCCGCAGCTGGCGGTACTTCTCCTTGGAGCCGCAGATGAAGAGGAGCAGCTTGCGCACCTGACGCCGCACGTAGGGGGTCTGCTGGATCATCAGGTACTGGAAGGAAGGAGAGATGGCGGGAGAGCTTTCCAAAAGTCTGCTTTCTGGGGAAAGGGGCCTTTATGGCGGAATGGGATAGTTCGCGGCATCCAACTCACCATGGCCAACTCTACTATGGCCAACTCACCATGGCCAACTCATCACAGCCAATTCTACTATGGCCAACTCTACTATGGCCAACTCACCATGGCCAACTCTACTATGGCCAACTCATCACAGCCAATTCTACTATGGCCAACTCATCACAGCCAATTCTACTATGGCCAACTCTACTATGGCCAACTCACCATGGCCAACTCTACTATGGCCAACTTGCCATGGCCAACTCACCAGGAGTTGGTGAGTTGGCCAACTCTACCTATGGGACAACTTGCCATGGCCAACTAGCCACAGCTAATTCACCATGGTCAACTCACCGTGGCAAACTCGCCATGGGCCACTCATTATTGGACAACTCACTGCGGGACAATTCAACAATTCAATTATTTGAAATAACTTTAAAAACATTTCCCTTTTTGTCCTTCACATTTCATTTTGTCCCTCCTTTGGCTGTTGTGAGTTGTCTGTGGCAAGTTGTCATAGAGCCGCCTTTATGGAGATGTGAGAGAAAGAGGGAGGCTTTTACTTCCCTGGATTTTAGGTGAATGAGTTCCTCACCCGCCACCCACCCAGATAGTACGTCCCATCTTAAGCCTGGAAACTCCCCCCTTAAAGCAGAGTAATAAAGTGGCTTTTAGGGCAGGAGAGCCAGAGCATCAAACCTGCACCAGACTCCGCCGAGAGGGCTTTCCAGGAAGGAGCCAAGGCAGCTGCCATTTAACAGCCTCTGGAGCCCACGAGTGGCTCAATATGGACGACGAACCTCAGACAAGAAGTAGAACCACGAATGATCGAAGACAGGGGGCGGGATGCGGGAGTTGGTGTCAGCGATCTTCTTGATCTGATAGGGCAGCCGCAGGACCATCTCTGTCAGAAGTTGAGTGTAGGCCTCGAAGACGTCGGCCGCGTGACCCTGGGGGGGCAACAAGAAGAGGGAGCTTAACCACCCCTGGAAATTTTCCCCGGGTTCTTCCAGACTCTTTGGTCCTTCAAAGCTACAATTCCCTGCTCCCCAAAGAGCTCATAACCAGAAGAGCAGCAGGAGGATAGAGGCTTATAAATTTAGATTGCAAACCAGAACAACTAGACACACAAGGACAGTTTTTCCCCACATGCCGTCACTCAGTTAAACAACTACCGTGTTTTCCCGAAAATAAGACCCTGTCTTATATATATATTTTTTGCCACCAAAAAAAGGCATTAGGCCTTATTTTCAGGGGAAGTCATCCACTGACTAACTTCACTTGCATGCATTGCCACCAGCCTCCTTTTCGCTGTCAGAGGCCTTCAGGACCTTCTTCTTCTGCAGCCGGCAAGGCTAGCCTGAAGGCCTCTGCAGTGGGTAAGAGCTCAGGATCGATCCGGAGTTTTTGTGATCAGCTACAGAGGCCTTCAGGAAAGCCTGGCCAGCCTGACCGGCTGCAAAAGAAATGGGCCAGCAAGGCAGGTGTCGGGGTGTGCGAGGCCTGGCTACAACTTTCCAAAGGTAAGCAGTAGGGCAGCTCCACCCTCCACATCCCTAGCCTAGCTTAATTTTTACCTGTATATTCTGGAGTGGGAGGGATCTCAGTTAGGGCTTATTTGGAAGTAGGGCTTATATTGGGCGCACATGATCAAGCTAGGACTTAGTTTAAGGGTAGGTCATATTTTGGGCGGGGGGGGAAAGGATAATTCCCACAACACTGTCAAGCTATTTACTAAGACTGTATTACTATTTTTCTCCTGATCCTTTCTATTACCTATCTCCTTTTCTACTTATGACTATAACCTTGTTGCTTGTATCTTTACAATATTGTTTTATTTAGTTTCCTAGTATGATTTGATTGCTTCTTTAGTATCCTATGACTATCACCAAGTATTGTAACTTATGAGTCTTGATGAATGTATTTTTATGTACACTGAGAGCTTACACACCGAAGACAAATTCCTTGTGTGTCCAATCAGACTTGGCCAATAAAGAATTCTTAGATGTTTATAAACCTAGATTTAAACGTGGTTTTGGACAGTCTATTATGCCAGCTACAAATCCTGCTGATTGCTCCTGAAGAATGCCAACTGGGCTCCAGACCCAAACTACACAGCCAACCAAATATGAGCTAAAAATCAGAACAGGGGTGACCAACTTTGGTGACTTTAAGACTTGTGGACTTCAAATCCCCAGAATTCCCCAGAGAGCATAGCTGGCCACTAGTCCACTAGTCTTAAAGTCATCGAAGTTGGACACCCTGACTTAAGAGGATGGAGAGAAAAATCATCTTTATTAGGACATTTTTGTGTATTTATTTCCTTTGAAAAGAAGCTTTTAAATTCATGTTTGTGGGGGCAACCGCCATAGCTTTGGCACACTGTTAGCTATCAGCAGCCGCAGAAAACACAAAAAGAACCCAAGGGGAGACTTTTGAAGTAGCGTGGTTCTTTTTTAATTTTCTTTTTTGTCCTTCCTTCTTCCTTGGCTGAGCTCGTGCTCTTTTTACTTTCTGCTGTGGAGATGAATGTTTAAATGACAGGAAACCCAATAAAAAAAAAATGGAGTAACAAGCTGGGATGTTGCCCCAGGTTAAAAGAAAAAAGAAAAAAGAAAAAAAGAGAGGAATATAAGCTACGCCACATCCTCACCGATCTTTAATACCGCTCTCTTCCTACAGCTGGGAAGAGAGGGGGGAGGAAGAGAGGGAAACAGGAGAAATGTGAACGCAGCAAGCTCCTTTGAAAGAAAGGAATAAAAGGGATTAAAAATTGCAACCGTCACTGCAGGCCATAAGAATTTGAGCAGCTCTATTCTTCCAGGAAACAGCACTCGAACACTTAATTCTGGGCTTATTTCATTGTGAACCCTGAGTGCAGGGGTGGAGGGGGGGAGAGAAGAAAAAAAAAACACACCGCCAGATGCCAGGAATAAAAACGGGCTTCGTAGTGGTTAAAGTAGGACAAGGTCTGCTTCGGGGGGCGGCGGGGGGGGGGGGCATGTTAAAAGCTTGCTTTGTGAGACTCTGCCCCACACCGAGGGGAAAGGATGCCGTGAGGAAGGGTCCCGCAGGATTGCCTGGGACGCTACAACATCCTCTGCGCGACCTCTTTTCCTTGTTGCCTTCTGGGAGGGCGGGGGCTTCATGGTATCCGAAGGAGAACATCCAGAATCGGCCACAGCTTTGTTCCGTATAGCATCGACCTTGTGAACTCCCTCAAGCTTCCTCTTTCCACAATGGATTCCAAATGGTGGGATTAGTATGTGTCTGTGTATACGTAGGTACATATAACAATGTGTAGCGATAGCATAGGTAAAGAAATACTGGACATTTTAAAGAAGAGATTGGATAACCATTTGCCTGAGATGGTATAGGGTTTCCTACCGGAGCCGAGGTTCGACTAGAAGACCACCAAGGTCCCTTCCAACTCTGTTATTCTATTCTGTTCTGTTCTGTTCTGTTCCATTCTATTCTTCATTCCATTCCACTCCATTCTATTTCATTCCAATATTTCTATTCTATTCTATTCTATTCTATTCATTCCACTCCACTCCGTTCCACTCTATTTCATTCCAATATTTCTATTCTATTCTATTCTATTCTATTCTATTCTATTCTATTCTATTCTGCTATTCTATTCTATTCTTCATTCCACTCCACTCCACTCCATTCCACTCTATTTCATTCCAATATTTCTATTCTATTCTATTCTATTCTATTCTATTCTATTCTAT